CATCACCACGCTTGCAGATGGAACAGATTGTTATAAAGAAGTGAAAGAGGCAGGTAGGTATAGAGAGTGTAAACGAACACAAGGTGTCTCTACAACAGAATTAGTAGGTCGTATGTTGTTGATGACCCGAGATCATCATAAACGACAATCAACAAGCATTGCATCAGTCAATAACGAGGATTTGAATACATTTATTACTGACCCATCTCATAATAAAAAAATGGAAACAAGAATCTCTCATTTTTTACCAACATCTAGAAGGATTGTACAATTTTCGGAAGGAAGGGAGCCAAATGTTGGCGATAAAGTTGTTTATGTCGATGGTACGTTTGATTTATTTCATATTGGACATATTGAATTTTTAAAAAGAGCTAAAGCCTTAGGTGATTATTTATTGGTTGGTGTTCATGATGATAAGGTGATTGATTGATTTGATTGTTCATTTTGATTGATTACTCTTGTTGATTAGTTTAATTGGTGATAATAATAACACGTTATATTATTAATAGACGGTCAATGCAATAAAAGGGGTGAATTACCCTTTAATGAATCTTCATGAGCGTGTTTTGAGCGTCTTGGCATGCAAAGTAGGTGTCAATTAAAAATTATTACAATATTGATGATCTATAAAGGATAATATATATAAATTATTATATATATATAGCATGTGGATGAAGTTATTATTGGAGCTCCGTATAGTGTTGATGATAACGTATTATCCAAAGTATATAAAGTTGATATAGTTGCACATGGAAATACTCCATCTTTACCTGACATAGATGGCAAAGATCCTTACGAGGTATTTGTTAATTAATAACTTTAAATAAATAAATAAATTATAAATAAATAAATTGATTAAATTAATTATCTCATTTATTATTATTAATTAATTAATTGATTAAACAAATAGTTACCAAAAAATAATGGTATTTATATTGAAATACAAAATCCATCCGCAGATCTTACTACAGCAAAAATTATAGATCGTATAATTGAACATAGAAAGATGTGAGTGTTTAAAATTAATTCTAATAAAATAGGCTTTATTCTTTTAAAATTTAAATTAATATACATATTATGTATTAATTACAATTAATAGATATGAAGAAAGACAAGCAAAAAAAAATGAAAAGGCAAAACTTGAATATGAAGCAGAGTTATTAGAGAGGGAAAATAATAAGAAGAAATGAAAAATTAAAAATTAAAGAAATTTCTTTAATTTATATTTATTTGTTTAATGTAATTAAATTGCATAATAATTGGATAATTTGTATTTTTATTTTTAATTTTTTAATTTTTCAGGAGTCTCTAATATCTATTATAAATAAAAATACAAAGAAAAAAAACTCTTCAAAACCAGAATGGGAATGGCACAATTTATCAATTAGCTAATCTAAGAATTTTACCCCATGTCATAAACTTCTTTTCCCCTACTCACATAACCCTCCCAGTTTGTTTGTTCCTGACTGGTTCAATGGCTTCCACAGATAACATACACTCTTTAAAGCGCATAGCAAAAATTCTATCTGCTACACATACTGTATGTATAATCAATCAATTCGCCTGTGCATATCAACAAACACTCAACAAATCACTTGCTCACTTTCTTTCATTTTCTTCTTGCACCTAAAGAAGAAGAAATATAAACTATTTCTTTTTGACTTGCAGTTGCTGCACCAAAAAAAAAAGGCTCATTGCATCCTTGGATTGAGATCCAAAGAGAAAACTACGACTTAAATTATGATTTGCTGATATATAACTCACGTGAATTTCGATTTTTATTTATGAATAACTTTTTGTGGAATGGATTCGGGAATCTCCTTGATTATTATTATTATTATGTTATATAATTATAAATCTTCATCGTTATTCCGTAAACTCGATCAATAATTATTTTTTTAAAAGTGCTTGATAAGCAAAAAATAAATGGTTATCGATTTTTATCAATCTAAAATTAAATATAACCAAATTTGAATAATTAAATAATTACCAAATATAGAGATACGGAAAATAAAATAATAATAATAATAATAATAATAATAAATAATAAATAAATAATAAACAGTACCGGAGTTCATATCTGAACACGGAGTTTTGTTTTGAAAAAATTATGTTCTATATGTTGTATAAAGATCTATTGCTGCTGAATTGAATAAGATGTTATGATGCTGGAAAGGCATTCAATAGTATAGATGTCTATATTAAGATATCAGGTGATGTTGTGAAATGTATTTTTGAAGCTTTCAATCCTGGTATTGTAAAAATCAAAGATATTACCAATGAACTTTTCCCATGAGTGAAAACTAAAAAAACAGAAATTATAAAAGATATCATTTTCCATCCTGATGGATAAATAAAACTCGCTCTTTTGTCAAAGATGAAATTATTTTTGTTTATCTCTAGATTCTTTATGGTTTGTGTTAAACCTTTTACTGGCTATGATTATTTTTTTCTTCTTGATAAATTTCATAGGTGATTCTTTCTTGATTTAAATATTCCTCATAATTTTCAGTTTCACTTGTTTTAAAACACAAGGAACTATTTTCTCGCCTTGTTTTTCTTTCCAAACACTTTTGATGGTACAATAATTTTTAGGTTCCATGGTGGATTTTTGTTTATAATTACCGTAATCCTTGGCAAATTAGCCACTACTCCTGCTGGAATTCTCGCTATTTTCAAAGTGGCCCAAGATAAGATAGTTTTTTAACTTAACTTGGAATGGTTTGCATTATCTCTTTTTCCTTTCTTATCTATGCTTCCTTGAAAAGAAAGATACCCAAACTTGTTAATCATTAGAAAAGATGAAAGATATTTTTGACAAGCAAAAATAATGAACAGTGTTTAATTAAATTTAATTATTGAAGAAAAGAAAATTTATATTAATATGCATGATTGGATTTATCCCATGCAAAAATTTAAAATTTACACGTGAAATTTACATTTGAAAACTTCTATTTTCTCCTCATAAAGCAACGATTTTTCAAGTCTGGCAGACTCTCACTCAAGGCCTTGGGGTGGTTTTTGAATGAGCTCCTCTCTCTAGATTTAAGCCCATTGAATCTACTTCATCTGTCACTAGAGAAGTAGAGTAGTCAAGGTCGTTATTGACGATAATTTTCTTAGTAATACTTTTTAATTCTCCAGCAGTTATTGGTCTAACAATATGTTCTGATAAATTATCGTAACAAATTTAATCCTATATAGGGAATTTTAATGTCTTCGTTATTATGAAAGCAGAGCTCATTGAATTCGTCATCAAAAAAATCTAAAAATAAACTAATAAATTATATAAAGGACAAATGAGAAATCCCTGTAATTTCTTGACCTGGTTCTAATATTATGTAAATGTTGTACAAATTAATTTAAGCATAATCAGATGATCTACGTAATCAAATTTAATTAAGTGCTTATATAGTAACAATTCAAAATACCAATAAGTTCATGACTCGAGCTTCAAAACTTGAACTAAACACGGCTGAGCAGGACCCCGAACAATCTTGGAGGATGGTACATTACAATTTTGGGTAGAAAATAGTCTTCAAAAGTCGAATTACATTTCTTAATTAGGATAAATTTTGTGATAATCTTGTAAATTGTTTCCAAAAATGGTAATAAAGTGGGTATTTTCTCAAATGTACTCATCTCCTATATAAGATTGTTCAAGGTCTGGCTGAGCCATAAAATTGAGACCAGTAAAATTGGTGTAACAAATTTCCGTTTTATTGTTTTTATTTGTATTATTATTATTTATTTCCCTTTTTAAAAGAAAATCATTATCAAATTTGGTAATATAACTTATATGGTGCAAAGGGTAATACAAAAATTTATTATTGCATAACTCCTTGAATGAATGGGGTGTATTTTTTTACATGTGGATCACATGATAATTCAAAATTTTCAACTTTTAGTATAGGTGATCTTCACTGTCCCTGAAATCTCAAAATGTTTACATTGTTTCGTATTATGATTTTATCAACTGTCATCATTCAAAAGTTTGCAAGGAGAGAAACTTATCGTTTTGTTGTATGTGATTTCGTTAATTACGTAAAGTGCTCATTCACTACCATTTCCATTTATTCAGAATTCGGAAAGTTTAATTTATTCAATTTTGTTCTTTGTCTCTTTCTTGATATATGCACATAGATAGATAACAAACAATAATAAAAATAATAAATAATAAATATATTAATATACAATAATGAATAGAATTGAAGATCGCTTTGAATTCTATACTGTGAGAAAATTAATCACGTTGTAGCATTATGCATGGATTGCATGGACTATTAAAATATAATACTTACTCTACTAAGAAGAATGATGATTACAATAATAATGCATGACCCGCTGCCAATATTTTCGTATGTGAAGAAAAAGAAGTTCTAAGAAAATTCTTTTAGAGAGATTAAAGGAATTATTTAATTTTATATGAATGATTGATTTGATTATATTTTTAGGGAAAATAAATCCGAGATCAAAAACTGCTGTTAAAATAAATAAACCCATTAAACTCAGTAAAATAAATAAATAAATAAATAATTGACCAGTGTGCTACATACCTTACCACCCGATGACTCATATTCAATGACCAAATTATGATAAATAACTATAAATATAAAAATTAAAAATATATCTTGCGGTTTTAAATACGGTTTTTTTAAAAATTGTCTACAATAATTTCGTGTTTATTTTTTATTAGTTTAAATAAAATATATTTTACTAAATCTTTTCTTTCTTTACTTTTTTTTTTCTTTTTTCTTTTTCTTTTTTAATTTATAATCTTTATAAACTCGATTCTTTAATTAATTGGTTTCTTTTATAAATAAAAAAATAATAAAAAAATTAGATTTCTTTTCACACATTTCATTTTTTTACATTTCATTCACAAAACAAATTATCATTCCTCATTTCTTATTTTACTCTTTCTTTTAATATTATTAAAGAAATAATCAACAAATCAACCAATCTTTAAGAATAACTTAGAAAAATCTAATATTTTAAAAATGTCTTCACCCAACTACAATAAATTAGGTGTTGATATTAGTAGTGGTAGTAATAGTGATAATAATGGTGATAGTAATAGTGATAGTGATAGTGATACCAATCAAAGCAGAATCAATGGTGCTAATACCATTGAGAGTTTTCACAGAAAGAGTAATAATAATAACAATAATAACAATAGTAGTAAAAATACTAACAAACACAATAATCATAATCATAATCATAATACTGACAATAATCATATTATTAATCAGAGTATTACTATTAAAAGATTTGGAGTTAAGGCTAACCCAAAATATTTAAAGTAGGTAATTTTTCCTTTTCTTTTCTTTTCTCTCTACATCTAATGATCATGAAGGAAAAGAGGGAGATCTTTTATGATATTAACTACTCCAATCAAACATCTAATCCATCCAAATTTTTAATTAATTAGAGATCCTTCCGCATTAAAATCAATTTCTTCCGCAATTTATGAGTTATCTTCATTCGTTGCTCATAAAATTCCTACAACATTAAACACACTACGTAAAGTTACTAACAACAACAACAACAATAATAATGGAGATAATTATTATCAGAATACATTAATTAACAATACTTACATTAATAGTTCTACTTATTATAATAATAATAATAATAATAATAATGATATTGATTCATTATCACAACAACCACATCTTCTTCATTAAGAACTAATTCGATAAAGTATGTATTTATTATTATTACAAATCTCCCTTTTAAGTATGTTAATATTGACGCGTCTAAACTTATGTTTAAATTTATATCTTTAATTTTTCAAGCCGATCAGTTCTAGTATTGGGATATCCGGATGGTTTCCAGATTTGGGATATTTCAAATGTAGATAATGTTAATGAATTAATCTCAATTAGAGATGATGAAAAAATTGGTGAAGTAAAAGTCGCAAAGGTTTGTATAAAGATGATAATAATAATCATTATTATAATCATTGATTTTTTGTTTGAATGAAGGTATGTCTAACTTCTTATTATTTATTATATAGATAATACCAAATCCGCGTATTGCTTCCAAAGACGATATAGATGAATATGCAGATCAACGTCCATTAATTGGATTAATGTAAATATATCTAACCAATTAATCATCATATTAATCATCATCATTATTAATATATATATATATATATATATAGATGTATACCAGAACACTCGTCAAAAGAGAGTTATAATAGTCAAGATCACTTATATAAATCAACACCACTATTTCCTCCCAAACCAAAAACGGTTTTACATTTGTTTTCCCTGAGAACTCATGAAATTGTAAAAACTGTTGATGGTATAGATGAAGGAAACATTGTTGGAATTAAGTGTAATGAAAGAGTTATAGCCTTGGTATGTTGTATATATCTAATTACTATGTGTTATACATTTCTTTAATAAATAATATATTTACAAGTGTTTTTTCTTAACCCAGGGTACAACAAACCCTTCAAGAATTTCGATATACTCTACACTAAATTTATCACCAATGTATACACTAAAAGATGTTGCACTACACCCAATATCAAAAACTCCCATATTTACACTCGGGTTAAGATTAATTGCCTATGCAACCACCAGTTTTCCACCTGAAAATAATATAAAGAAAAAAAAAGATGTTGGATATTATTTGGGTGGTGTTAGTGGTGGTCTCCATCATGATGACGATGATGATGATTTGATTGGTGCCTCGGGTAAATATCAAGAAGTTGCCAAAGGTGTTGCAAATGTTGTAAGCGGTGTGAAATTTTTAGGTAAGCGATTTTTCCACATATACGTACTTAAATTTTGTATATATATTTATTTATTTGTCTGTATGTATTTTTCTCCAATTTTACTCCGACAGGTGATTATGGATTTCAAACACTTTCGTCATATTTTGGCAATCCATCAAATTCACACACTAACATTAATAAGACACCATCATCAGTCACTATGCCAATCAATATTAAAAATCATAATGGTACAATTAGTCCAATATCATTTAATTCATCATCACCTCAACAAAGTCCATCGTCAAATAATATTAATGGTATTCATCATCACCATCACCACCAAAGAAATATTCACAACAATGGTGGAAGTATTGACATGGTAAATGGTTTACATAATAATGAAACAGAAAAGGAAAACGGCGCAATTGGCACAATTATAATTCGTGATTTAGAAATATCCAATTCTCGTAAAATTAATAATAATAAAAACAATAAAAATAATGTGCGAGATCCAAACATTATAGCGCATTTTACACCTCACACACATCCAGTTGGTTACTTGTCATTTAATCCATCCGGAACATTTTTATACTCCACTTCAACCCAAGGTCATCAATTTCATGTGTTTGAAATATTTGGTAACAATAAATATCGACGAGTTGCCAATGGCGGAGTTGGTAATAATATTGGTGGCAGCAGAAGTGTTAAAAGAGTTTATAAATTATCAAGAGGTATAACCGATGCTATTGTTGGTGAAGGTGGTGTTTGCTGGAGTGAAGATTCTAGATGGTGTGGGGTGGCTACTGGTCGTGGCACTATACATATTTTTGCCATAAATCCCTACGGTGGTTTGACTCATATACCCTCTCATCTATCAGGATGGGTTATTAATTTACAAGAACCTTCCTACTTATCATCAAGCACTTTGTCACCTGTTGTACGTATAAAACCACGTACACCTTTACCACAAGATCCAACTGAATCTATCGACAACGTAAATAACATTAATGATGACGATTTGATTTTTCATCAACAACAACATTTTGATAATCAAGTTCAATATATGCAACAACAGTCGTTACCATCACAATTGCCACTTGTAATACCACACCATCATTTACGTAAACCGCCAGGGATTTGCTTCAAATTTATACCATCTTTATCATCAACCACCTCTTCTAAATCAAGTCTTAGCAACGATAATAAAATCAATAAACATTTGAATGCAAATTTACACGAAAAACGTCAAGTAAGGAAGAGATCTTCGTCAGCAACAATTGCTGCAACACTAGCTAGTCATAATAAAAATAACAACAATAACAGTTATTTACCAATTATCAATAATAACAACAACAATAATAATTTGAGTATACCCAATCCTTCTTCACCATCTGTTACGTCAGCTTCATTATCACCAAGTTCATCATCTGCACAATCCTACAATAGTAATTATCATCAACAAACTGAAAAATTAGAAGATGTTGGGTACCAAGATTTATGGAGTTTTCATCCAACTGGTGTATTAACACTACACAGAGTTTGGTTAGAAAGTGTAATTTTAGGTGATCCCAATGGTAATAATAATACTAGCAATACTAATAATAGTGGGGGTGGTAAAGTTAATAATACTACAGGTGGGCAATTAGCTGGTGGCGCAGCAGCTGTAGCTAATGTTGGTAGAGTGTTAGTTGATGGAGCGACAGGTGTTGTTAACATGGGTATGGAGATAGCAGGCGCTAATAGGAAAGATGTTGGATCATCGTCCTCATCATCATTATCATCGTTATTGGATATGGCTACTACTTATGAAGATATAGCCGAATGGCAACTTGTTCGCAATAAAACTTGGGATGAAGTAAAAAATGTTATCGAGCCACCTAAAAATCATCATAATTATTCTGATTCATTTGACTTTAATAGTAAAAGTAATAATAATAAAAAAGACGTTGTTGGTAATAAATGGCTTGCAAATGCTGAAATAGAAACTTATACCAACTCTAGATTGTCGTTACCACCACCATTATGGGAATGTCCACAATTTACACTTCAAATTTTTACTGCAGGATTCAACGATTACATAAATAAAGGCAATGTCCCGTTGGCGAACAAAGTTGATATTCGTAATCCTTTATTAAGTACAGGTAAACTAAATCAAGAAGGCGAATCTCTTGAAGATTTAGTTGTTGATGATAAAATGACGATAAATGATAAACATATTCGTCATAGTCATAGTCGTAGTCATAGTCGTAGTCATAGTCATAGTAATAGTCATAGTCATAGTCATCACAATCATTATGAAAATGATGGTAGTAGTTATGGTGGTATTGACTCAAATGTCATATTGGATAATAACCAAGGATATTTTGGTGGTGTTGTTGGAAAGGATAGTAGTAGCAAGAATAGCAGTAATAATAAAGGACGTAATAATCAGAATGGATTACATAAAGAAAATCAACAGCATGATCAATCTAGGGAATCTGATATTGACTTATCAGGTAAATTTAATTATTAGACAATCTATCACTTATTGTTTAATTATATTGATTGATTATTAATTATTAATGGAAAAAAATAAACACAGAACTTTCAAGTGCTATTGACACAAAGCTTGATCTATCAACATCAAGTGAAGTCGCCATCGGCAACAAGAATGGCAGTGATGGTAACAATTTTGGTAATTAATCATATAATAACAAAAAAAATCAATTCTAATAACAAATAAATAATAATAACGATTTGTACTTTTTAAAAAATAGATTTAAATGATAATAATAATAAAACAACGACTATCCCCATAACAACTACTGCAAATACCGATAGTAATGATACTGAATTAATTAAACCATATTCAATACCTTATGTTATTAATCCTAAATCATCTCAATCATTGACAGCATCATTATTGACACCACAGTCAACAATCACTACTTTATTTCCTAATAATAATAGTAATAATAACTCGTCGTATTCACAATCAAATTCAATGTCTTCATTGAATTCTTTAATATTTGGTAGTAATAGTTCAGAATTCGATGATATCATTAAAGAAGAACAAGAACAAAAACCAATTACCGCTATTACTAATAATACTTCAACTGGAAAAAATAGTTACGATTTTAGTAATGAGTTTAGTGATTCATTGTTCGGATCAGGAGAATTTGAAAGCTCATTTTTATTTTCAAATGATGATAATTTAAGTAGTTTGTCTAGTAATAATAATAATAGTAGTGGTAGTACTAACGGCAACCTTAACAAGATTATTAAAAACAATAACAATAATGGTAGAAAAAACAATAAGGATAACAGGAACAACAGCAATAGCAGTAATAACAGTGGTAATAATAATATGTATAAAGGCGTAAGAAATGATGAGCAACATATAAATGAATTGGTTTAATTATTATTGATGTTGGTTTCATTCAGAATATATATTAGATAGAACTAATTATACAAGAGATCTTTAGAAGAATCGAATACGTTTGTAGATTGAAACATTAGAGAAAAAACAAGAGGTTTTGGTTTATAGTAATTTGTAATTTATAGTTTTGTGACTTGTAATTTGTATGTAATTTTTTTAGATTTGTAATTAAAGTTTTTTTTTTGTAACTATGTTATCTTTTATAAATTGTTCTGTAAATTAGTTTTATTTTCATGTTAACGTTAGTTAATACACGTAATTTATTTGTTTTTTTGTAAATAAAAACATATTTGTATTTTTTTTCAATTGATAATGATATTTATTTTTATATACAACTAAAAATTTATTACATTTTTTATCAATTATAAATAATGATTATTTATTTTATTTATTATAAAGAAAAATAATATATTATTCATAACATAACAATAATAATAATAATTAGTAATAGCAAGCAATAATAAGCAATAATATTAATAGTAATAATAATAATGATAAATGATTTTATGCAAAAAGAGGGAAGATTAATTATAAAGAAAAAAAATATTAACAATAAATGTTCATTAAAACCCAATATTATATATTATATATTATATATATATATATTTGTATATGTGTGTGTATGTTGTAACCAAATATAACAAGAAAAACGAAAAATATAAAAATATTTAATATTGATTTGAAAAAGATCTAATTTATCCACCAAACCCATAGAGAGTTCTTCCTTGTCTCTTTAATGCATAGACTATAAAAAATTAATAATAATAGTAAGTAATTAATTAATAATAATTAATAATTACATAACAATAGATTAGATAGATTAAGATAAAGATGATACTAACCAACATCGAGCGAAGTTACGGTCTTACGTTTTGCGTGTTCCGTATAAGTAACCGCGTCACGTATAACATTTTCGAGGAACACTTTTAATACGCCTCTTGTCTCTTCATATATAAGACCCGAGATACGTTTAACACCACCTCTGCGTGCTAATCTACGAATGGCAGGTTTTGTAATGCCTTGAATATTATCTCTAAGAATTTTACGATGTCTTTTAGCTCCTCCTTTACCAAGACCTTTTCCTCCTTTACCACGTCCAGACATTTTTTATTTTATTTAAAGGTGTAAGTTGTAATTGTTAAAATAATATTTCTTTTGACAAAGAAATATTTTATTTATTAATGTGTGAGTTTTTTATCTGTTGACAAAAGGATCGAAAAATTTTTTTGAAGAGAAATGAATTCAAAGTTGAATCAATTTAGTATCTTTATATATACTTTGAATGTTAATTAGAGAAACGCGTTAATTCTTTTTTTTTAGGAAAAAATCTAAAGAAAAAAAAATTATTGTTTTGATTAAATAACAATAACAATAAATAAAATTTTTTTTAGGTAAAATTTTTAGAATTAAAACCGTTTAAAAAATTTTTTTTTATTCCTTATCTAAATTTAGTCAAAATAATAACAATAACAACAACAAAAACAAACAAACAAACAAACAAAACACTATCATCATTATGATGATATTAATTATATTAATTATTATAATAGAACGCGTATACAATTTTTTTTCAACTTTTTTTTTTCTACAAAATTAAATTATAAATAGAAATTTTATTAATATAATTAGTGTGATTTCTTTACATAACTTGTTATTTAAGGAAGTGAAAAATCAAGTTTCCTTTCCATTTTAAGAAACTCTTGGAATTTGTCCTTTTACAATAATTATTGATTGACATTTTCCTAATTCATCATCAAAATAATAATAATAACACGTCTTTACCATAAGAAATTTATAAATAAACAAATCCCCTTTCTTTTTCTATATTAATCCTTTTTTAACGTTATTTTCATAACAATAACAAAAACAACAACGAAAACAACAACAGCAATTAATAACAAGTAACGATAAACCAGGGGAATAACTAATTAATTAATTTTATTTTTTTTAATATAAATACAAGGCAATAAACATCCCTCAAATTTTCATCTGTTTTCAAAAATTAACATTATCTCTCGGTAAAAATTTAAATCACACAATAAAATTAGTTCATTTTAAACAAAAAAAATTAAAAAATAATAAATAATATAATAAAATGGCACGTACTAAACAAACTGCTCGTAAATCAACCGGTGGTAAAGCTCCAAGAAAACAATTAGCAACTAAAGCAGCAAGAAAAAGTGCACCAACAGCTGGTGGAGTAAAAAAAGTGATTAATAATTTAAATATATATAATAAATGATAATAATTATTACAATAACAATAATAATAATGTTATGTTTTTTTTCTTCCCATAATTATATATAATAGCCACATCGATACAGACCAGGAACTGTAGCACTCAGAGAAATTAGACGTTATCAAAAAAGTACCGAATTATTAATTCGTAAATTACCTTTCCAAAGGCTTGTTCGAGAAATTGCTCAAGATTTCAAAACCGACTTACGATTCCAAAGTTCAGCTATCGGAGCACTTCAAGAAGCCGCTGAAGCTTATTTAGTTGCCTTATTTGAAGATACTAATTTGGCTGCCATTCATGCTAAACGTGTCACCATTCAACCAAAAGATATTCAACTTGCACGTCGTCTTCGTGGTGAACGATCTTAAATCAATTATTCTACACGTCTACACTATATATATATATACTCAAATGCTTGTTTTATTCAAATCAAGTTAATTAATTAATATTTTATCACTACTATACTATTATATTATTATTATTGCTATGTTATTATTATTATTATTATTATTATTATTAACGAAATAAAATTTTATTATTATTAATTAACGGAAATAAAAAATCAATCATTTGCTGCGTCATTACTCTTTCTTGACTTATTGTTATTCTATCCATATAACACTTTTACAAATTAAGTTGTACGAGTCTCTTAGTGCTATTACTATATATACATAACTTAAGATAAACGTGCAGTTATGTCTAAATTGTTTAAGATGCGTTCCTTCCCGGTTGTGTTAGATTGAGTGCTACAGTACACTTCGTGCAGCGAGTATAGTACAAACCATTTTTAATCATTTTTGGCAATGATAATTGTACTTACGTGCCTTTTTTGGGCTGGGTGTGTGGGACTTATAAATTGTACTTAGCGTACTCAATCTAATTCTACTTATGTTTGTACTATACTGGGTTGTACGATGGACTAATGTAGATCAAAACTAATTGACATCATATATAAAATTTACTAATTAACTTTTTTTCAACGAATATAAAATAAAAATTGCATCCTCTCCTTCAAAAAAAAAGATACAAGTATGAAATTAAGAAAAATCGTAATAAATGTGATGCTGAACATTGTGACAGAGAGTTTTTTTTAATTTTATTAGTAAAATCATCCAAAATGTCAAAAATACTGTTAAAACTTTGAAACGTATAGGCTCAATAACCAAACAAGTTAGAGTAAAAAAATTTCCATAGTTTTTTTCTCTGTGATTCAAAGAATAGCCTGACAGAGAGTTTTTTTAAAAATTATTAGTAGAACAAGGATTTATAAGAATTCAAAGTTGTGCGATTTTATTAATAAAAAAATTTTTCGATTTTTTTTCTGATAATCATTTCCTTTTAAGGAAAACGCAAAGTCTTTTTCTTAATAATAAGAAACGTAAGAATCGTAAAAAATAAAATATTCAAGTTTAAATAAATAAAATGCCGAAGCCCAATAAAAGAAAAAGACTAATTCATAATGCATGTGTGGTCAAAAAAATGAAAACTTCCTCAGAACCTTTACTCCTTATTGAACAAGAAAATAATGTTCCAATACCATTAAGTAATAAGGCTCTAGAAGTAAAGCAAAAATTAATAAATAAAATCAATTCATTACCAGAAAAACAAATCTTTGCATGTTCTACATTGCTCGAAATTATGGTTTATCCTGATGGTATTAATAAGGGTGAAATTATTTCATCATACCTACAAAAAAGGCACTAAATTTAGTTCTATCAAATCGGGGAAAACAAGATTCTAGTGCCACAGGGATCCAAAATAAAATAAAATTATTAAAGAGTGAAAATGAAAAGTTGACTAAGAAAATTGAATCAGCTACTTCGAAGAAGAGAACTCTGGCCATCAAACTAAAAAAACAAGAACAAAATAGAGATCTTTATATTTCACGAATGAGATCATTAGTTTCGAAAAGAAAAAATGTATCAGAAGGAGAGATCCAACAAAAAAGATTAAAGAGAATAAACATACCTATACGCCTGAGTTTACTGCTCTAATATCCCAAATTAGCAATAGGTCAAATGTCATTATCTTCAACAACCCAGTGCACAAGAGAAGTCTTTACCTTTCTGACTGGTCATTCCCCTGATACTTGGGTTTCAAAAAGTACTTTATCTCGATGGAATAAAGAAGTGGCAGAACTTGCAATTATTGAAAATCTTCCAAATTCCACTTCTACATTTGTTTCATATGGAATCCTAGCAGATGAAAGCACAAGAGGAGATAAAAAAATCTTCTTAGTATGTGTTGCACATTGGAATACAATCAAAGAGGAACCTATTGCATCAGGAAAACTAATGTTGAGTATTATATGTATAATCATCATATAAATCACATATAATGGTCTATATGCAATTTATTCATATTTTTTTTAATATATTAAGCATATGTTATTTTATACAATGATTATATGTATAATATTTACTTATAATACTAGTATTAGATTTATACAAATATTTTATGTATTTTTCTAAGCAAATTATACATAGGAAAATTACACAACATATTCCATGCAAAATATCATGGAGATTATTTGTATAAAATGATTCTGCATGTGTTTGATGCAGAATATATGTATATTACAATATATGCAATTTATTCATGTATTGTTGTGTTTATTATACTTATGGTGATCTATATGTATAATATATGTAAGTATATGTAGAATATATTATATTGATTCTTGAGCATATATTCTTGGCTGTTTGACATGCAGCATATACACATATTATACATATAGTTCTTGTAAGTTTTTACTTTCAATTGGCATCATTAACAGTTAACAAGGATGGGTAAAGTATACCCTATGCAAATGTGGGTGATCTGTGTATAACAGTTTTTTTTTTCCCTGTTAATTTAGATCACTAATAGATTTTTTTTTGTATTATTTTTTTTTGAATAAAAAATTTAAAGAGCTTCTTTAAATCATATGCCAAATCTATTATTATTATTATTATTATTATTATTTTAGGTGAGTTTATTTATTTTTATTTTGCACAATCAGATCATGTTATGAGAGAAAAAGTATATAAGTCACTGCTGTTCCTAGGTTGGGAGGAGTTTAAAATTAATATTTCAAATTTCAAATTTTGCAAATTATTTAAAAAAACCAAATCAAGTCAATTTTGAGGAATTTATTAATGATCTTAGGTTCATTTTGAAACTACAATTGCACCATTATATTAAAAAGTCACATATTGTTGTTGTGAAGGTTTTAATGTTGATAATTTAGAATAAATTGATGTTCTTGGACTCATTCAAAAGCCAAAGTTCTAACATTCATAATACTCAAAATCACATGTTGTTATAAAGATAAATCATCCATCAATAATTTAAAAGTAGATGTCTAAATTATGAAATTTTTATAATTAGTTATTCAATAACAATTGATTTAATCTCCACCCAAATTCAATTGATTAAAATAAAAACTTCTGTAGTTTTACCTCTTAACCTACATATTAATATCATGTTTACATATGATTGATCTATAAAAAATTACCTTTGATTTTTTTAAAATCTTTTGTACCCAATTGAATCCAAAAATTCAAAAATTTGCAATTTTATCAATTCTTGAGACAAGTTGATGATCTTAGACTCATTCGAAAGCTAAAGCTCCATAATTCATTATACCAAAAAATCATTATTGTTGTTATGTAGGCTTTAAAGATTGTAGACAATTTAAAATATCAACAATCTACACCTAAATTACTCACATAATCAATTAATCATTATCATTTGTTTTAATCTTCATCAAAATTCAATTGGTTGAAATAAACTTTGTAACCTTACCTCCTTAATCTATATATTATGCTTAAACATGATTATCATTCATTGATCTAAAAAAAATTATCTTTGATACTTTTAAACCTTTCTAACTGATCTGAATCCAAAAATTTGAAAATTTGCAATTTTACCAATTCTTAGAATAAGTTGACGATCTTAGATTCATTCGAAAGCTAAACTTCCATCATTCACCACACTAAAAAATCATATATTATTACCATGTCTATTTTAAGATCGTCAAGAATTTCAAACATCAATAATCTATGTTTAAATTATTCATATAATCAATTAATCATTATTATTTGATTTATCTTAACCAAAATTCAATAAAAATTTTTGTAGCCTCACCTTCATGACTTACATGTTATGCTTATAGATGATTGCTGTTCATTGGTGTATAAAAAATAAGTTTGGATTTTTTTTAAATCTATTTGTACTCAAAATTTGAAAATTTGAAAATTTGCAATTCTTGGAATAAGTTGACGATCTTAGATTCATTTGAAAGCTAATCTTCCATCATTTATCACACTAAAAAAATTGTATATTATTACCATGTCTATTTTAAAGATTGTTGAGAATTTCAAACATCAATAATCTACACCTAAATTATTCATATAATCAATTAATCATTATTATTTGATTTAATCTTAACCAAAATTCAATAAAAAATTTTGTAGCCTCACCTTCATAACCTACATGTTATGCTTATAGATGATTACCATTCATTGGTGTATAAAAAAATAGTACTGGATTTCTTTTAATCTATTTTGTACTCAAAAATTTGAAATTTGAAAATTTGCAATTCTGCCAATCCTTGAGGTAAATTTATGTTCTTAGATTCATCCGAAAGCCAAATTTCCATCATTTATCATATTAAAAAATTGCATGTTTTTATTATTTAAGTTTTAAAGATTGTTTACAATTTAAAATATAGACCTAAATTATAAAATTTTGACTCATATAATTAGTTATTCAATAACAATTGACCCAATCTTCACCCAAATTCAATTGATTGAAATAAAAGCCTTTATAAACCTTCTTAATCTACATATTATGCTCATACATGATTATCATTCATTGATCTATAAAATTTTTTTTGATCTTTTGTAGCTGATTTTGTAGCTGACTTGCATCTAAAAATTTGCATTCTGTCAATCCTTGGAATAAGTTGACGATCTTGAACTCATTTGAAAGCTAAAGTTCTATCATTTGTCATATTAAAAGATTGCATATTGTTATTATATAGACTTTAAAGATCGTCAACAATTTAAAATATCAACTACTCACATTAAAATTCCTTAATTTTGATTAAATTAATAAAATACTTAACCAATTGAAATGAAAATACCACTCTATTAGGATAGTTTCCTGGTATGGTTTATGCTTATGGTGTTTGCTGAATTATTCTTGTACTTCAGATTTGACTCATATAACAAAAAAAAAATTAATTATTTACTGATTTGTATACTCATTTATCAATGTAGGAGTCCATTTAATCCATTAAATTATTATTACCTTCAGCTTTCTTAGGCATAAACACATCCCATCCATAAGGCTGTTTTTATGATAGTGGTAATAGTTAATCCAAAACCCACTATTCTAGTTGAATTAAAAAGATATTTATTTATTAACGGAATTCGAATTTACTATAACGCAGATCACCAAAAATTTACAACCCTCCCTATTGGCGTGATTAAATATTGATATATTTTGTTTTGTAACACAAAATAATAACAATCTTTAAAAAAAATATATATACGTTAAGAATGTGGAGGGCAATTTACATTGGAATAATAATACAACAGTATTTATCATTGCCATTATCTTTATCATCATTGTTCACCAGTATTAATTAATGAATTATTTAATTAATTTAACTTTTTTATAGTGAGGCAACAAAGATTACATTGTTAGTTATAGAAAAAAATGAGCCAGAAAATGATAGAACATACTTAGAAAATATTACATAAGAAGCTTTCCAGAAAGACAAAAACTTGTTTAAAGGATCCAATAAAGCATTTACATGTGTATGAGCTATAATCAATACTTTTTTTGGATTACCTATGTTTGGATGAAAGGATTATCAAATCTTTAATGGAAAATTACACAGTAAAATGAATTTAATATATTATCTATATTTATTTTTATTAATAGAATTGAAATGATGATTGATTTTTATATTTTAAATCATTAATATTTATACAGTAATCATCATTTTACCCCTAACATATATCTTTATTCATGAATACTATGTTAATATCAACATTGGTAAGAAATTTATTACAATTTGAATTTATTTTCTCCAATTATAATTAATTATTTATTATTATTAACACAAACCTATTTATTTTTTTAACATATATCTTAATGAATATATTAATGTTAATGTTGGTAAGAAATTTATTACAATTTATAATTAATTATTTATTTATTTATTTATTATGAACAAACTATTTCATTCCATGTCATTCATCTACTAATCATTTATATTCATATTTTCTTTTATTTATATATTAATCTTTTTAACATATACATATATTTTAAGAAATTTGAATTTATTTTCTCCAATTATAACTATTTATTTATTTATTAACACAAAATCATTTCATTTACTTACTAGTGATTTATTTTTTTTTTTCTTGATTTATTTATCTACTATTAACATAAACTATTTTGTTCCATTTCATTCATCTACTAATAATTTATTTTTATTTTTCTTTATTTATTTATCTACTAATCATTTATTTTTTTAACATATATCTTTAATGAATATATTAATGTCAACATTGGTAAGTAATTTATTACAATTTATAATTAATTAATTATTTATTTATTTATTACTAACAAACTATTTCATTCCATGTCATTCATCTACTAATCATTTGTTTTTTTAACATATACTAATTTCAACATGGCAAGAAATTTATTACAATGAATTGGTTATTTATTTACTACTAACACAAACTATTTATTTATCATTTTATTTTTTAACATATGATTCTTATTTTTATTACTTAATCTTTAAATTATATGTACAATGATCAAACAGCTGTTCATTTAACCCTACAATTGTATGCATTTTTGAAGATTAATTTTCCCAATGCATAAATATTTGTA